CAGACAGTGAGGATGGCACAGCATAAGAAAGGATTCATGTTCACAGGGTTGCTACGGTAATACTCAACAGCACCTTATAACAACAGTAGAACTCAACACATTTAGCTCTGGTAGCTTAGTGGTAAGGAGCTGTGCTGCTTACCACTAAGTTACCTGGTTCTAATCCACCAGTTGCTCAGTGGGAGAAAAATTAGGCAATTTCTTCTTGTGCAATAAGTACTTCTGAAAACCTGATGGAAGGTCAGCTGAAGCAGTTCTGACAAAATGGTACACAGCAGTGTACTCATATTTTTTTCCAATTCCCTCACTACTCGTTTGTTTTTTGTTGACAGCTTAAATAATATAAGTTGTCCCACTGATCAGTCTATTACTGTGTTTGGGGTCTTCAGACTATTTTGATCCAGTGACATGGACAACTGTCTTTGTGCTCTGAAAACCAGTTATCAGCCTCCAAGCTATGCTTTCTATATTCTGTATAAACTCTTGCTTTTTTCTAACACTGCAATTTCTGTTACAGAGCCAGCAGCATCAAGGGACTCACTATACTATGAAGCCCAAGCATAGACCATAATTTAGGCACACAGAAGTAGGAATTGTTTTAGGTTTATCACATTTAGTATCAATAGTCAGTCCTAGGCTTTGGGTTAAAACTTATAGGAAAAACATCTTGAGGGAGAATGATAAATTTAGTATCTATGCTAATGTTGTTATAGCAGATAAGGCAACAAGCACTCATTAATCCAAAGGAAGTAAAGCTTCTCTATATAGAGTGATGCCAATCATTTATTTCACCAGCATTGCTAAATGTCTATAGTGAATACTGAAGATCAGATGTAGAGAGAGACCATAGTTTTGTTACAAATGGGGTCAAAAAATATCGAAGAAAACTGGAGTCTCCTTCCAATCATCACTCCCCACAAAGCAGTGACTACTCCGGCCTTTGGGTCCCACAGAAGGCACACAGCTCAGACCCACCAGCTATTCCGCAGGAGAAATATAGGCTATCTCCCCCTGAGTGAGCCACTGCGTCTGAAAAAGCTCAGGAGGATCCGCTCAAGCTGACTTGACAGCACATAACAACAACATCCCTCTAGAGACACTCAGCATAATGTCGAACACGCTTTAGAACAGCTCCCTTTGTTTCCCCAGAGGACTATAAACAGTTATAAAATGTATTTTTGCATTGCTAGCACTTGCCACAGTTCTCATGCAACTTTAATCATGTGCTCATATACATTTCACCACCTTACTCCACACTCTAGTCCATTCTGCATTGTGTTCCATTCCTCAACTGTGCTGTGGACTTGAACTGTGGACTTAATCATGCTCACGTGAAACCTGTACCTCAACCAAGAAGCTGTCATAAAAACAGAGCAAGGTAACACACCACATGGTTGAAAATGAAGAAAAGCTTGCATTAGGGTCATAACCTTTCTCCATATCTATTTGACTGTATGCTGAGAAAATTATTTAAGAAGCTGGACTCTGTGAAGAAGAATGTGGCATCAGAATCAGGAAAAAAATTACCAACAATGAATGTTATGCAGATGACACATCCTTGTTTGCTGTAAGTAGGAGTTGAAGGACTTGCTGTAGAAGATCAAAGATTACAGCCTTCAATATTTATTACATCTCAATGTCAAGCAAACAAAAATTCTCACCACTAGACCAACAGACAACATCATAATAGATGAAAAAAGACTGAACTGTCATTGACTTCATCTTACTTGGATCCACAATTGACATCCTTGGTATTAGCAGTCAGGAGATCAGGTGACGTACTGCACTGATTAAGTCTGCAGTTAGTTGTTGTTGTTGCTATTGTTGTTAGGTGCCATCGAGTCGAGTACAACTCATAGTGACCCTATAAACAAAATATCTAAACATAGTCCTGTCTTGCGCCATCCTCACACTTCCTGACACACAAGAGTTCATAGCACCAGTCACCATGTCAATCCATCTGGTTGAGGAGGTTCCTCTCCTTTGTCGACCCTCCACCCTTACCAACATCATATCCCTCTCCAAAGAATAGCACCTTCTAGCAATATGTCCAAAGTATTTGAGGCAAAACCTAATCATTCTTATTTCCAAATAACATTCTGGCTGTACCCTCTACAAGACATACCTATTCATTCTCTTAGTGTCTCCTTACTTACTGACTGCTCAGAACAGGGTATTAATTGTGGATCTAAGCACGATGAAACTGTTGACAGTTTCAATATCCTCTCCTTCCATCATGACACTGCCTACTGGTCTTTTGTTAGGAATCTTTGTTTTCTTGATATTGAGATGCAATCCATACTGAAGGCTGCATTCCTTGATCTGCAGTCAGAGATCTCTCTGCATTATTAAGGAGCAATGATATCAGTTTGAAGACTAAGGTGTGCCTGATCCATGGTACTAGCAGTCAGGAGATCAGGAGACGTATTACACTGGGTAAGTCTGCAGTCCTTTGAGCTGTGGTGTTGAAGAAGAGTGCTGAATATTTCATGGACTGCTGAAAGAACAAACAGGTATATCTTGGAGAAAGTGAAGCCAGGGTGCTCCTTGGAAGCAAAGATGACAAAGCTTTACTTCACATACTTTGGTCAAGTTGTTAGGAGAGACTATTTCTTGGAGAGGGTCATCGTGCTTGGAAAGGTGGAGGTTCCACAAGAAAGAAAGACCTTTAACAGATGAATTGGCACAGTGGCTGTAGCAATGGGCTCAAGTGTGTTAGACATTCTGAGTGTGGAACAAGATAGGACAGCGTTCAGTTCTGTTGTGCAAAGAGTTGCTTTGGGCCATACTCAATTTGATGGCACCTAATAACCACAGAGTATTAGGTCTTCAATAAATGTGTGCTGCATATATGGGGGAAAATAATAAAGTGTCTATACTGAAAAGTCAGTTTCAATAAGGAAAAACAATGTCATTGGGAAGCTGTTTTCTTCACCAACTAAGTGGAGTCCTATCATTTTCACACTCCACTGATTCATTCTGAATATGGTGTCAGGAACAACACAGGGGCAAAAAACAATTAGCAGGGCAACAAAACAATCAGCTGAACCGTCTGGGATTTGAGCGATGAGCAGATCAAATGTCTTAAATTTGCTAGGCTCTTTCTCATTTGGTCCAGAATGGATGACTCTTGGCTGCACTGTACCAGGAATAATTGTCCCTCATATATCCCCAATCAGCTGCCTTTTAATGAGTGACAATGTAAAAGCTGCAGTGACTTTCACTGTACTTGACAGATCTTGGCCCAACTCCCATTGATTTGTCCTTGGAATAGGTGAGCTGAGAGACACCATGCACAATTGAGTACAGACACCACTGCTGGTCTTTAGCAACTGCAAGGCCCTGGAGATGGACAAATACCCATGAGGAAGAAGTTCAGTGTCTGACGTGACCTTTGGTACTTTAACTTTGTAGACAGCAGAAGATATGCAATGTCTTGTCTTATGCCAAAGCTGCTTTATGCATCTCAAAGTTCAAATGCCCTACCTTAAACTATCACCAGGGTAGACTATCCTACAGAAAAGGTCCAGGTACTTGACAGATTGACCAGCTCCTTGTGGTCTCATGCTGGTCTATCTGGTTGCTTCCTTAAGTTAGCCTAAGTTCTGATTGCTGCTTCTTTGAAAACTCAGTGCGTCTGAATTTAAATTCCCTACAACATACTCTTTCTCCCCTTCTTTTTTGCTTAATATGTCCTGGAGGATCTCAGTCCTTTGGAAATACAACTTTTCTTGCAGCACAGCTGATTTCATCAAAATAATTCTTTGAGACTATCTTCTGCTTGGCCATCCACTTCCTACTGCAGGCATAGCCCAGGATTCTTTCCCATCCCCTGGCTTCTGATGCATGGTCAACTCTGGCCACATGCAGCCTCTAAGGGAAAGAACGTCTCTCTTTCAAGAAACTTTCCTGTTTTCTGTCCTAGTCTGTTTACCCAACAGCCTATTCTGCTATTTTGTGTCATCTTATTATCACTTTCTTTATAGATTTCTCAACTTTTCAGCTAAATGAATGGTATGTTCCTCGAGGGAAAGAACTATGCCTATTGTAGACCTCACATTCCAAATGCTAGCACAGCTAGCAAAAGCTTTATAACAATGTAAACGATCTTATCATACACAATAAAAGTTAACAGCTCATGGACAACCACTTTGGTTCTGGCTGCTTGGCATATGAGAAACAAATCAAGTCTCAATCTGTACATAATAGCCCTTAGACCAGAGCCTCAATCTAGATTTTGTCTGTTTACATCTTCTTATCTCTGCCATTTACCCAAACTGTCAATTCAGTATCGATGTAAGATGCTATCGTGGTGAACCAAAAAGGATTTTATGTAACACATTCTGGTCTGGTCTAAGAGACAACTCTTTGTTCAGTCCCCAAATCTTGGGTAGGTCCCTGCTAATTTCAATTTAACAGATGGTAAACCCAGGTCTCAAAGATAAGTCATGTGATGACATTCACCTTATTCTATGACGGGTAGATTTCTGACTCAATCGATGCTTCCAAACACCACCTCACACTACCACTTATCAAACACTCCCTCATGCTTGCATTTATTTATTTAATAATCAGCTGCTTCAGTAGGAGGTTAAGCTCTATAGGTGAGAGCTGAGTCTGTCCTACTCATTAGTGTCTTTCTAAAGCTGGCACACAGAAAGCATTAAAAACATTTATTAAATAGGTTAATGACCCAGCCAATTGGTAAGCTCACTAAGAACCCCCAAAAGAGAATTCCTAACCCTCTTGAAATTGAAGATGTTCGATATTTACTCAAAAAGTGTCATAAAAAATGTAATGTGTCTTCTAAATATTTTGTCTTTCTGCACTCCAGTCAACAAAATGTAATAATTCCGAATTGGAGTTTATTATAAGAGCTCTCAGTCGAAGACAATTCTCTGAGAAGGCAGCCTAGGAAGGTCCAGCTGGCCAGGAACACAGCCACTCCAGGCCACTCCAGCTCAGGCCTTTTGTGCGGCCCCCACGAGGGCGGAACTTACCCCTTTCACAGGTTCTCCCCCAGTAGCCAGTGCCCGTGCAGTCGCAGATGAAGCGGTTCCAGCCGTCCTTGCACACCGCGTTGTTCTTGCAGGGGTAACTGTCACACTGCTTGGCACTCACACGGGAGCAGGACGACTTGACGCCCGCGGCGTTCTGCATCTCCGCCAGCTGCCGGATGTTCTTGCTGCGGCCGTCGATGAACAGGTCTCGGATGCAGCCCACATAGCCATAGTTCAGCATGGCGGTCCAGAGCTCAGTTGGGAGGATGAGGCCAGCACGGTTTTCCGGGAGCCCGCCCAGGTACATATCTCCCTCCAGATCCAGGATCTCACTCTCCCCACTGGCCGTGAATGGCGTGCGCCTGCTGTTCACCGATATGGTACCTGCGAAGGGAAGACAGGGACAGAATGAAGGAGCAGCCTTCTTGACATCTCAGGTGAGGCCACCGGCCACCAAGCCAAAGACGCCCAGCAGGTGGCCAGCTATGACCGGCCAGGAGAGTGGGAGTGAGAACATAAGAAGCTACCAGCTTATTAAAGGGCCTATATGAGCCGCTTGGAATCAACATCCACCTGTTAGAGCTTCTTGACCCAGAGAAGGAAAATCCCAGTGACCTAGCACCTCATCTATTTTTTTCCTCTACCTAAAAGGTTTGGCTCTGAGAAGTGTACCATACAAAGTGATGGGGGCAGCATCTGTCTGTGTTTAAATCCTACATTTACCTGGTCTCCATCCCCTGTCTGTCAGTGTATCACACTGTGGGGCTTTGTGCTGGGCTTTGTGCTGCAATGATGCAATGATCGAATTTCAAATACCAACAGTCACCTTTCGTGGGCAGGTTTTGAGGAGCTTCCAACTTAAGACTAAAAAGAAAGATCTGCTTTCAAAAACATTAGCTGATTAAAACTTCTTGGGTCACATTAGAATGCTGCCTGACTTGTTTACTTTAGACTTTTCAGCAGGAACGATACATTACTCAAGGAAGATACCAGGTTGGGTCAAGTGGGACCAGGGAGGGTATGAAGAGTTCAGTCTGATGGATTGCACAGTACACACCAGGATGAACTCACATTCACCTTAAATCTCAAAGATGGCACAGATCTAGACAGTGTTTTGTTCTATTGGTCATCCATAGGAGGCGGTGGTTTTGTTTTTGGGGTGCTTTTTCTATTAGTCCTAAGTTTACCATGAGTAGGAATCAAATTGGTGGTCTCTTATTGCATCTCTTATCTATCATGATCTAGCTATGTAACCTCCAGAGAATTAGTTAGGTTTCTACACCTCACTTTCTTCACTCATAAGATGGTAATAATAAATTTAACCGCCCCACAAGCTGGTGTGATACAGAAATGGATAATATATGGAGCCCTGGTGGCACAGTGTGAAACACACCAAGCTGCTAATTGAATAGCTGGTTGTTCAAATGCACCAGCTGCACCGTGGGACAAAGGTAGGCAGTCTAGTCCAGCAAACCTCAGAAGCCCAGTGCAGGAGCTGTGGAGTCAAATGAACTCAACAGCAGTGGAGCTCGACACACAAATGTATACATACTGGGTTTTGTTATGTGCTATGGAGTTGGAACGGACTTATAGCTCACCCTCCAGCAGCTTTTCAGAGGCCATGAATTACATGGGAAGAGA